ATAAGGTTAGTATATTTGGGTGGAATTATGGGCTGAAGATAACGTGAGGTCGGGTTTGTGCTCAAAAATTGTCTATGGCCGTTCCGTGAGAGAAGGTCTGCCTCTGAATTCGCTTTTCCTGGTATGTGTTCCATCTTGATTGAAAAGTTTCCGAGTATTTGTGCTTGATATATCTCTGCTACTATCTCATTGATTGCGGAGTGTTTGCAGAAGCCAGAGTAAACAGCTTCTACATTTGCCTGGTTGTCTGACCAGATAACAAATTGTTTTTTGGGTCCATATTGGGGAGAACGTTAGTATTGCGATGAGTGTAGTTAAGAGCTCTCGCTCTTGTATATTGTGCTGAGATAAGTCCATTTCCCTGGACCAGTTGAAGGCAGTAAAATAAGACTTGAATGTCGCGCCTCCACCTAAGTTGGATGCATCAGTAAAAAGATTCTGTGTGGCCGGACTAAGCCATTGCTGATCTTCCATCAGATGAATTCCGGGCCATCTTGGTAGTATCGTAGCCCACCATCTCACATCTGACTTCATGGAGCTGTTTAATTTTATGTGGGACTTGGGGCTGGTTGCTATGCTTAAGGCTTTGATGAAGCGTTGTATAAATGGGCGTCCTTGTGGAAGAACTTGGCATACCCATATTAGTGACCCGACTAACGATTGCAACTCTTTTCTAAAACACCAGTGCTTGTTCTCCCATTGTTTTAGCATATTAATTAACTTAGACCTTTTGTTATCAGGGATTGTGGCCGTGAATGACTCTGTGTTGAGGTGAATGCCAAGAAACGTGATAGAGGTGTCTGGTCCTTCAAGCTTTGACCTTTTAAAGCATCTTTGCTCATTGTGGTTTGTCCTTTTGCAAATTAGACAGGCATGAACTCTTCCACAAGCTTTCTCGTCTGCGCAGTAGCGTTTGTTCCAATTGATGCATATTTCCCTTCCATCATGCCACTCCATATCAGGACGTGTAGTCCGGCGCGTATTGTGCTTGTGTTTCTTTGCTGTGGTTATGTCAAAGTTTCTACCCTCAACTTCGGTTTCACGGTCTAAAAGAGTTGAGTCCCGATTCGTAACCAACGTTACTCTGCGATCTTCGTCATAGGACATTACGGCGTGAAAACTGTGCCTAAGACATAACTCACTAATGTGATCTCTGTACGCGTTAAGCTCATGTTGTCTATTCTCATAGATGACAAGGACCGCATCCATGTATGATTTAAAGGCAAGTAGCCATTCTGAGATATCTGTGAATGCTGTGTGCCGGGAGCGCCTTTTTATTGAGATAGTACCGCCTTCCGTTGACTGCAATGTGGGTTCGTCTTCTGCCTCTCTTATGCTTGATAACAGGTTTCTATATGTAAAGTCCTGTAGGTTTACATAGGATCCGAAAGCAACTGCTTTCCATAATTTGGATGAAATATTGGGTTTGAAGGGAAGAGTCTCGATCATCTTCTGGCCATCTGACCAATTCATAACCCACCAGATTCGTATGCTTTCGGTTTTTGCTGCCTGGGTGTTAGAGAACCCGTGAATGTCGTGAATTCCTTTGAATTTTCCATAATCAAAAGATGGGTATTTCCATGATGTCGATTTGAATAGGCACGAGTTTGTAGATGTTGCAGCTAGGTGCGTGCTTGGTGGTGTCGTGGTGTCCTGGCCTTGAAGGGTAACTCTGGATGCTCTCATGATAAGATCGTTTAGTACAGGAGTTGGAGGATACTTACCAATGGGTTGAGCCGTCTCTTTTCCTTTGCCAGTTGGTGGAGCGCTGGCAGAGTTGACCGGTTTCTGTGGCTGCTGTTGTGGTGTTGTATGCTCAGTTGGTGCTACGCTGCTGTGTGGTGCCGCAGTCTCAGTGTCGGCACTGGCTCGTGTTGCTTGAACCAATATATTGTTGATGTTTGCTTGAAGTTGTTCGTTCCACAGCCTCTGTTTGTCGAACTGGGAATCGATATATTGCTTGAAGGATCCGATGATTGATGTGGTCGATGAACGGATTGACTCGTCGATGTACGCCTTTATTGAGGGATCAATGTGCACTTCCGGTCTTGGGTTGTTCAATGTGGTAGCCGATGCCGATGTGGTTGGGACTGGTTGTAGAGTCGTGCGCAGTTCCTTGTCGTTGTCACGTGGGTTTGGCTCCATGTTGCTCATGATTCGGTTGCAAGGTGAGTATATATGAATTGCCGATTTCCCTTTCTTCCTTCTTTTTTTTTTTTTTGTTGCTGCTTTATTCTATATATATTTATCTTTTTCTTTTTCTTTTTTTTTTTTTTTGTGTTTGCTTTTGTTTTTTTTTTTTTTGGTTAATCGAGAAATTTGTTTGCCGAAGACTATTGTGTCGAAGTGGGAAAGAGTGTCGAAATCGATTTTCTTTGTCGGCTGTTTATATATCGATCGTGGTCGGTGGCTTATTTAATTACGTATTTCTGGTTGCGTGTTGATT